GGCCTCCACTGCACGCACCTCCTCTGGGGCGAAGCACCATCCGCGGACCCTGCCGGCGTGCGGAGGACGCTGTTCTGTTTGACTCGCCGTCGTCGTCGTCGTCGTCGTCGTCGTCGTCGTCGTCGTCGTCGTCGTCGTCGTCGTCGTCGTCGTTGTCGTCCTCGTCGTCGTCGTCCTCGTCGTCGTCGTCCTCGTCCTCGTCCTCCTCCTCCTTCTCCTCCTCCTCCTCCTCCTCCTCGTCGTCGTCGTCCTCGTCCTCTTCCTCCTCCTCCTCCTCCTCCTCGTCGTCGTCCTCTTCCTCCTCCTCCTCCTCCTTCTCCTCCTCCTCCTCCTCCTCCTCCTCCTCCTCCTCCTCCTCCTCCTCCTCCCCCGCGTCCTCCTCCTCCTCCTCCTCTTCCTCCTCCTCCTCCTCCTCCTCCTCCTCCTCATCCTCCTCCTCCCCCGCGTCCTCCTCCTCACCCTCGCATCCAGAAGGCCTGGGACAGCGTCGCCCCGAGGATCAGGCAGGCTGGCCAGCGCAAGTGGCGACTGGCCAAGGGGCCCCTCAGCGCGACCATCGCTACGTTGCTGGACATCGGCTGGGACCCCGTTTCTGCTACCCAATGGGACACCGATGGCGGGCACTCGTGGCTGATCCCGACGGCCAAAGACGAGAAGTTCCAGGAGATGACCAGCGACTTCAGCCTCCTGCTCAGCGACGTCTCCGACTCCATCGACAAGCAGTTGTGGAGAAAGGCGTCGCAACATAAAGCTGCTGAAGATCTGCGTGCGGGTGCCGACCTCCTGCACGTCTCCCGCGAGATCGAGAAGTACAGCAAGGCCGACGAGTTCGGTATGGTCGGCCTCACCATCGCCGTCACTTCTGGAGGTCAATGGCCGCGGGCCCGACTCCGAGAAGCAGGCTACATCATTGCCGCACAGTGCCCGCGATGCGGGGAGGCGGCTGAGACATTATTTCATCGGATATGGAGCTGTCCAAAGAACGGTGGTCACAAGGACTACGATGACAGCGAGCACCTCATCGAGCAGGCCAGGACGAACTGGGAGGCGAGCCCCTCCCTGTGGCTCAGAGGAGTACCGAGCCGCCCTGATACCTGCCCTGTCTTCGACGAGGAAAAAGAGCCCGTTGCATACGAGTTTGGTAGCTTCGCCTCCGCACCCCGCGATGCCGAAGGTTTCGTCACTGTCTTCGGGGACGGGTCTGGTGGTGAGTTCTCGGATGACCCTCGGCGTCGCAGGGTAGGAACTGGAATTGTCGCGCTCGATGGCAGCCCGTTCGACTGGGAGCCGTGCGCGGGGTTTTCGATCACGGTCCCTGGGAAAGTCCAGACTGTCCCCCGAGCCGAGCTCACAGCGTTCGCCGAGGCCCTCGAGCGCACTGTAGGAAAATTAAGATATATCAGCGACCACCTCCCCATCCTTAGAATCTGGTCCCAAGGCGAGAGTGCGCGCCAGCTTCGGAACGGTGACCTTTGGACCAGGATCTTCAGGGCTGCCAGGGGGAGGGGCGCGGAGGTAATTGTGGACTGGGTCCCGTCCCACGTTTCGGTTGACGAGTTGGACTGTACCAGTGAGCGCGAAGTTTACCGTGCGGTCGGCAACGAGTGTGCTGATGTGCTCGCTGGTAAGGCGGCACGACTGAACTGGAGCGAATTCACCCTCGGCTTTGTTCCCGAGACCGACCGCAGGGACGCTGAGGCCGCCTTGGTCCGCAGGAGGGCGCGCAGGGCCTTGGAGGATTGTGTTCTTGTCGACCCCTGGACCGCGGCCCGTCCCGAGGGTCCCGAGGTCCCTCCCGTGCCCGCCCTTGCCCGTGTGCTGAAATCGTCTGCCCACGAGTGGCGGAAGGTCGGCCCAAAATTCGTGTGTTTGCGCTGCTCTCGATTTGAGACGAGAGCTGCCATCAAGCAAGCTGCCCTTACAAGGTGCCAATCCAGGCCAGTGGGTGACGGAATCTCTCCGTTGAAGGGGCCCCAGGAGATTGGAGGTCAGAGCCTCCACCCCTCCCACCGCCTCCAGTTTTGGGGGCGATATGGCCTGACGTTTTGTGCTGCCTGTGGTAAAACCGCCACCTGTGACCCCAGGTGGCTCGTCGGCCGCTGCACCCCCAGCTGCAAAGGGGATCATAATCTCACGAGAATTCAGAACGGTCGATACCCCCACCCTGGGGGGCCGCCGAGTTTCGTTCGCGACGCCATGGTCGCCCGCCTCGCGGGCCTGATGCCCCCGCCGCCGCAGGACCGCCGCGGGGAGGGAGGGGCTTGCAGCAGTCAGACCCCCGCCCCCTCCCCAGCAGGCAGCGGGGCGTGTGCCGCCCCAGGCGGGGGCTCGGTGGAGGAGGAGGTCCCCGCTCCGTCCTCCCTTGAGCATCTCCCCTCCTCGGAGGAGGAGATTCGCCAGGCCCAGGAGCTCAGAGTAGCGTCCCTGTCCCTCCGCCTTTTGGAGGCTGCCCGTGGAGGCAGCAACGGCAGAGGAGACCAAGGCTCTGAGTCGGGGTCGGATTAATCCGTTTTGTTTTTAGACTTCCGCTGTCTTTCATGCTCGCATTCCTCGCATTCCTCCTCCTTCTCCTCCTCCGCTCCCTCCTCCTCCTCCTCAGGGACCGACCGTCTGGGCACTCCTAGAGGCCTACAGGGCAGCGCGCTGCAATAAGGAACGCCAGACGAGGAGCGAAGGGGCTTGCTCCTCGCCGCGGCGCGACGCGTCTACGAGTAGGTCTCCCGGCTTAGATCTAGGGAGCGGCCCGAGAACCTGGGGCCCCTCCTGAGCCCAAGGTGATCCTTGTGTCAGCGTCTTAGCTGTACCACGGCTTGATGTTAGAACGAAAGAAAGCTCTAACAACACAAGCAATGTAATGTCCTTAGACCATGGAGCCGATGTGTGCATGGAAACAAGGCGAGCTCAGCCAGACATGCTCAACAAAAACATCCGGTGCAAACACAGAAGGGCTCTTGGAACAGGACGCCCCGTCACTGCTTGAAGTGCCGCAACCTCCAGCTTCTCCAGGTCCAAGCCAGCTGCAGAGCGCTCGGGCCAAGTGAACGTTTTCTTATTCGGTGCTTCGACATTGGGTGGAAGCAGGGTGGGAGGGGGGGAGAACGGGGGATTGTGGAGTCGCAGGGGTTCAAAAGCGCGCGCGCAAGGCTTTCGCGCTGAGTCCGCGACTGTTTCTGTGCAAACTCGTCTCTGTGTCGTCCTCCTCCTCCTCCTCCTCCTCCTCCTCCTCCTCCTCCTCCTCCTCCTCCCTCTCCTCCTCCTCCTCCTCCTCCTCCTCCTCCTCCTCCTCCTCCATCTTTGCCTTTTTTTCTCCTGGGGCGGCTCCGCCTGCTCGAAACAGGCGCCCCAAACAGCCACGATCTACTCCGTGGGGTGCGGGGGGGGGGGTGTGCGGGGGTCCGCGCCGACCGGCAAAACAACGAATACACAACGAGCACCAAGGCGTCGTGGTCTGTGGCCCGAGGCGCCGAGCAGCGCGGGCCTCCTCGACAAAATCGCCCTCCTGACCCGATCGGGGGCGCGCCGCGGCCGGGCCTTCGGACCGTGGAGGCCCCAAAAAGGCACCACAGCGCCCTCCATCCCCCATTCCTGGATCACCAGTCCTCCTCCTCCTCCTCCTCCTCCTCCTCCTCCTCCTCCTCCTCTTCCTCCTCCTCCCCCTCCCCCTCCTCCTCCTCCTCCTCCTCCTCCTCCTCCTCCTCCTCCTCCTCCTCAAGAGCCTCGCACACATCCTGGGGTGCTCTCCGGCCAGGAATCCGAGGCGGAGCCAGCCGCGGCGGAGAGGGCGCCCTGGGAGGGGAACAGCCTGTGGGCTTGCTTCCCCCAGGACTCCTTCCCAGAAGTCCGCCGATTTTCGATTCCCCATATCTAAAGGATGGGGCTCTTGTTATTATTCTGACCGCGCCGATTCCTCCCTCACACCTCCTCCCCTCCTCCTTCTCTTCCCCATCTCACTCCTCGTACGATCTGCCATGTTATGTTATGTTATGCTATGTCATGTTATGCCATGATGTGCTATGTTATGTTATGTTAGATTATGTGAGGCGCTGCTATGTCATGGTATTCCCCATATCCTGGGGATGGGGTTCTCGCTATTCCCCATATCCGAAGGATGGGGTCTTGTTAGTACCGACCGCGCGGACCTCCTTCTTCCTTACCTCCTTCATCTCTTCCACATCCTACTCAGCAGAGTATGGGGATGCACTCAGAGTGTGATGATGCCGAATGATGGCGATACTAATCTGATGGCGACGATGATGATGCAGATGATGGATGATGCTGATGAAACATATGTTTCGTGCGAGGCGCTGGTTTTCGCACCCCAGGGGGCCCAGATGGCGAGGATGTCCCGAGCGGTTTGCTTGTTTGGGGGGCCAGGCCCGTCTGCGCTCAGAACAGGTTCTGAGGATGTCTTGCGCGAGGCGCGGATTTCAGCACTCCCAAAGAGGGACCCGCGGGGGGGTATTGCACGGCTTCCGTTCGCGCCAAAACGGCGGGGACGTCTCGGGCGGTTTGCCCGTTTCGGATGTTTCGAGCGAGGCGCATTGTCGCCCCCAAGTGGGGCCAGAATTTGAGGACGTCTCGATCGGTTCGCCTGTTTCGGTGGTCAGACTCGCGGGCACGGATCCTCCCCAGGATGCCACATGAGGCTCCAGCAGGCTCCAGGAGGCCCCAGGAGGCAACGGGAGGTCCCGGGAGGCACCAGGAGGCCATGGGAAGACTCAGGAGGCCACAGGATGCCCCGAGAGGCTCCAAGGAGGCCCCAGGAAGCTCCAGGAATGCCTCAGTAGGCTCCAGGAGGCTCCAGGAGGCCACGGGAGGCCACACGAGGCCCCAGGAGGCCATAGGGAGCGCCAGGAGGCACCAGGAGGCCCTGGAAGACACCAGGAGGCCCCTAGGAGGCCCCACGAGCAGGAGGCCTCAGAAAGGCCACAGAAATGGCTCCAATCCCATGTGTTGCACGTATGCCCACATAGATTGTGTCTCCCCTGGAGCACGAATCAGTAGTGTGTTACGTATGTTTCTATCGATGGTCCTTCCCTTGCGTATCAAATCCCGCATATTTTACGTATGTTCCTGTAGATTCGGCCTCCCCTGGGGCACGAGTCCTTGGTGATTTACGCATGTTCCTATAGATTGCCACTCTCCTGTGGCTCCAATCCGTAGTGTTTTATGTACGTCTGTTCCTATATATTGGGCTTCTCCTTGGGTACGAATCCTCCCCAGGAGGCCCCAGGAGGCTCCAGGAGGCTCCAGGCGGTCCCAGGAGGCCACACGAGGCCCCAGGAGGCCTCAGGAGGTCACAAGAAGCCCCAAGAAGCCCCAAGAGGCCCCAGGAGGCCCCAAGAGGCTCCAGGAGGCACAATGAAGCCCCAGGAGGTTTCAGGAGGCCCCAGGAGACCCCAGGCTCATGCGCACAGACCCACTCGTACTACTGAGACTCACTCCCAATCTATCAAACTCAAACCCGTGTATATTCGAAATCTCTTGCGCATGTGCGCTCACAGCGGAAAAGGCCCATACTAATATATGCAAATATGGGGAGCTCCGCGCAGCGAATATCTAAGACATATTTGTTTGAACATCCGCGCCCCAGAGGTTCCGACCGCTTCCTTGGAGCTAGTTTTCGTACTGGAGCCAGGGCCCGAAAACAACCCCGCAGAGCCGAACTCGAGGATTTACGCCCAGAAACAACTTACATATTCGGGGATCTGACACAGGGCGATCGATCCTCGCCGCGTCCGCTTCTCTTCGTACGGCGCCCCTCGAAGCACTTTTCTTTTGCTCATCAACCACAGAACACACCCTTCACACGCCTCTCTCATCTTACCCATCAGCTCGCATTGCGAATCCAATCGCATTGCCACTAACATCGTGAGACTAAGCCGGCCCGGGGAGGAAGGATGATGATAATGCTGCTGCTGATGATGATGATGACGACGGTGGTTGAGACGATGATGATGCTGTTGATGATGCCGATGATACTGATGACAATGATGATGATGCTGATGATGACGGCAAAGGTGATGCTGTGATGGTGATGGTGGTGGTGATGCTAGCAATGGCGATGATGGCGACACTGCTGCTGATGATGATGACGATGCTGCTGATGACGATGGTGATGGTGATGGTGATGATGGTGTTGATTATGCTGCTGATGATGATGCAGATGATGCTGATGATGCTGATGATGATGATGGTGGTGGTTGTGTCGATTCTGATGATGGGGATGATGCTGATTCTGCTGATGGTGGTGGTGGTGATGATGATGAGAAGGAGGAGGAGACGAGCAGCAGGAGGAGGAGGAGGAGGAGGAGGAGGAGGACAAGCAAGAGGAGGAGGAGGAGGAGGATGAGGAGGAGACGAAGAGGAGGAGGGGAAGCAGGAGGATCATCCCGATCCGAGGCTCTTCTCTGAGCGCTCGGGGCGTCGGTGCCGTAGGCGCCGCCGTGCGCGCGCAGCACCACGGGCGTGGCGGAGCCCTGCTCCTCTGGGCAGGCGAGGCTCGAGCCTCGGGCCTCCCCCGTCCGCTGCGGCTTTCGGGCCCGACTCCGGGGATGGACAGAGCCCCCTTCGGCAAAACGTGGTTTATGCGGGGCTGGAAAATGACCACAGCCACTGCTTCTTGTTTGCGCCGCCCTCCGGCCCGCCGACAAGAAGCAGCGGTTGTGGTCATTTCCCTGGTGCCAAGCTCAATGAAAATGACCACAACCACTGCTTTGTTTCTGTGGGCTGGAAGGCGGCAGCAAAAGAAAAGCAGTGGCAGTGGTCGTTTTCACGCCCCGTAGTTTAGTGGAAAACGACCTCGGGCCCAAACCTGGCGGGCGCAAGCTTGGAACATGACAAGCGCGGCGCCCTCTCCAGAACCGAAAACGGACAACTCACTAATCGGCGTGTCAGTGTGGGGGTTTCTGCCCACCCCCGAAAATTTCTGGGGACGTATGCGCGCCAGTCGGAAGAAGTAGGTGGAAGCATGAAGCAGGAAGGCGGGCAAAGTAGACTAGCTTCGGGCCGGCCCAAAGAAGAGCAACAAACAGCAAAAGCAGGTCGATGCTTGAAGAAGAAAGGCGCTTGAGGTAGATTGGGATCTGGGAGTCCAGAAATACCCCACTTTTAACGACTAGTGGGTAATGGCATACACGTCCGCTTTCGCAGGCCTGCGTGGACTCTTTGGGCCCGCGCTGGAACTTCCTCCCTTGCGCGCCAGGGGCGGCGCCGTAGGCGCCGACAAGGGCGCCCAGCGCAGGTTCAAGAAACCCGCGCGGCCGCTCCGAAAGGCTATGTTGATGCTTTTTGTGGGTCTTCGGAGACGCCCCTTCGGCAAAGCGCCTAAGACAAAGCCGGGGTAGGGCCGGGCCAGCACCCGACAGGGAGAAATTCGAAATCTTTGGAATCCGACGGTCTGCAGGATGTGTCGGGAGCCGCGGCCTTCTCAAAGCCTTCTGGGACGCTCTGAGAGCGCTCCGGAACGCTCTGGAACAATTTATCCCTGTCCTATCCCCGCCTGAACTGGCCATCGCTCGGACGTCCATTCCCTGTGTTCTTTTTTCGGTTTTGTGCGTGGCTTTTTCCCCAAATGATCAAGGATGCTCCTCGATGGTCCTCGCCGCAGGAAAAATGCACACGTCCGAGCGATGCCAAGTGAAGAATCCCCTTTTGCGAAGCGCCCTTTAGTGAGAGCTGCCAGGGGCCCTCCACGTGCGCACGGCACCAGTCCGAGTGCACCTCCGCGGGGCAGCTAATCGACGTCCAAGAACAACCGAGTGTATCCGGCGAAACGCGCGCCGATTAGCGAAACCGACCGGAGACTGCACCAGTACACTCGAATACGCCAATGTCGAACGAACCGGTGCAGATTTCTGGTCGATCGGTCTGGATGGGCGTTCTGTCAATGCCCCGTCGCCCCCCTGTCCCCAGACCCCCCGCGTCGTGAATCAATCACGACGGATGGTTTTTCGCTAATTGCGGCCTTTGAGGGCCTTTGCCGGCCCTCGTGACCGTCGGAAAACGAGCCAGGATGAGAAACTGGCTCTGGGGAAGGGGCCCAAACCTCTGGAGGGCCACGTCATGAAAAACATGCCGTCGATGGTCTAAGCCTCCCTACTCAACGTTGCCCCTTGGCTTTCGGGTCACACCTCTGCTCTCTGGCGGCAGTCCGGGACGATGCGGGCACTCCTGGGGTGCTCCCTGCGAGCCGCAGCTGCTGGAAAGCACCCCGAGGCTGGAAAATTTCGGGAAATCTCAGATCTCGAACGAAAGTTGCCGAGAACATTTTTTCCCCACATCCAAAGTGGGGTTCCTGTTTTCTCTGGGCACCCCGCGCAGGAACCTCCTCACCTCACCCCTTCTCCTCTTCTGTCTTCGTGCGCTCACTCACTCACTCACTAGTTCGCTCACTCACTCACTCACTCACTCACTCACTCACTCACTCACTCACTCACTGACTCATCAGCACTCACTCAGTCACACGCTCATGAACTCAAATATGATGATGATGAATGTGCGCGTGAGAGAGAATGATGATCATCGTCATCACCAGTCACTCAGTCAGTCAGTCAGTCACTCACTCACTCACTCACTCGCCTTGGGCGTCGTCTGTGAGTGAATTGCGAGGAAGTCTCAAGCGGGAGCCCCCTCCCTATGGGGCCCGCGGATCATGTTACTAATCCGAGGAAGTCTCAAACGGGAGCCCCCTCCCTATGGGGCCCGCGGATCATTTTACTAATCCGAGCGGGTCATCCAATTCCCGTAACTGTCGCCACTTTTGGGCTCTCGCGCTGCCAGAACGCCATTCCCAGGCGGATGATGTTACTAACCCGAGGACGTCTCAAGCGGGAGCCCCCTCCCTATGGGGCCCGCGGATCACGTTACTAATCTGAGCGGGTCACCCAATTCCCGTAACTGTCGCCACTTTTGTGCTCTCGCGCTGCCAAAACGCCATTCCCACGCGGATCATGTTACTAACCCGAGGACGTCTCAAGCGGGAGCCCCCTCCCTATGGGGCCCGCGGAATATGTTACTAATCCGAGCGGGTCACCCAATTCCTGTAACTGTCGCCACTTTTGGGCTCTCGCGTTGCCAGAGCGCCACTCCCAGGCCACATTTTGAATGCCCGGAGCCAACTGCAGGCCACTTCGTGATCTTCGTGCTCCCACAACACCACTCCTGGGCCACATTTTGAATGCCCGGAACCAACTGTAGGCCACTTCGTGTTCTTCGTGTTCCCAGAACACCACTCCCGGACCACATTCTGAATGCCCGGAGCCAACTGTAGGCCACGTTGTGTTCGTCGTGTTCCCAGAGCGCTATTCCCGGCACGTACCCAGTGGGACGCACCCCTGTGCGCTTCCTCTGGGTCGTGCCCCCGCGCGTATCCACTGGGACGCACCCTGTGCGTTTCCTCTGGGTCGTGTTCGGCACGTATCCACTGGGACGCACCCGATGATGATGATGATGATGATGATGATGATGATGATGATGATGATGATGATGATGATGATGATGGTGATAATGATAATGATAATGATGATGATGATGATGATGATGATGATGATGATGATGATGATGATGATGACGAGGTCGGGGGCAACGTAGGGAGCGGGGGGAAGGCCCGCGCCAGGGCGAAAGAAATATACGCAGAAGAGACAGCCAGGACGCCTCACCAACCACGAGGACGACGGTGAGGGCTTTTTTCCAGATTCGCCCAGAGGGATTCTCATGTGGGGTCTTTCCGTCGGAGTAATTAAATATAAGAGTATATAAAATATTAGTATGTGTATATATATATATATATATATGAATATATATGTGGTAAAAACTGTAGGAAAGTGCAGAAAACCGACGAGAACAGCCGAGAAAAGCCCAGATCTCGAAAGGTCGACGCCCAGGCCTCCCCTGGGAGGCGGGCCTGGCCGTGGCCACGAGGGCGCGCCCCAGGACGCGCAGGCGCACCCCGGAGCGCGAGCCCACGATCCGAACACATCCTCGCCATCGCTCGGACGTCCATTCCCTGTGTTTTTTTTGGTTTCGTGCGTGGTTTTTTCGCCAAGTGATCAAGGATGCTCCTCGATGGTCCTCGCCGAAGGAAACATGCACACGTCCGAGCGATGCCAAGCAACTACACACAACAAAACTGCACCTTGTTGCACTCGTGAGGCGCAAGCCTTGATTCCACACTGACACTGGCAAGCGACGTCGAAGCCCGGCAAGTACGATGTCGCAAACGTAAAGTTGAAATCTGGGGATCCGCGCAACAAGCTGATCCACTCCCCCAGGGTGTAGTTCTGTGCCTGTCCGACCGATCCTCGAACTTCGAGCCCGGAGCCCACCCCCCCCTACAGTGAAGTCGGGCCCGTCCCTGTACAGGAGGGCAATTCGAAAATAGAAAAAAAAATAGTCTGGGGACGATGTTTTGACTATCTTTGAGCATGTGGGGGGTGCTTTTTGAAAATTCTTAACTTCTCGTCCACAATCCCCCTGTAGGGGGACAGGCCCGACCTAACCCTACAGGAACCCGTACCATAAGGATGCGCGATAAGGATGCAGGGGCCTTGGCCGCCCATTTCGAGCCTTCTCGAGCGGGGCGCGGGCCACGAGAGCGGCCGAGGACGGGCCGAGGAGGCCGGGGTGCCAGGGTGCCCCTGGGAGGGCTGCCCGTCCTTGCCGTGCGGGTTGGCTGTAACCTTGCGCGCCCGAGACCCCTCTCATCCCTGACTTTGCCTCGGGCCCCTCGCCGAGCAGGCCCCTTCGCCGCGTCCTCTCGCAGCCTCTGCAGGCACTTCTCCACCGCGTGGCTCTTGCCGGAGCCCGCGTCGCCCAGGATCAGCACCGACCCGCTCTCCTGTGGCAGGGGCGCCCCGAGATCTCCTGCAGGCAACCCGTACCATAAGGACGCACGATAAGGCTGCAAGGGCCTCGGAAGGCCATGTCGACGCTTTGCGAGCGGGGCGCGGCCAGCGAGAGCGGCCAAGGATGGGCCGAAGGGGAAGGATGCAAGGGTAGCCTTGGAAAGTTGCTCGTCCTTATCATGCGGGTTGACTGTATGGCAGGGGCGCCCCGATATCTCCGCCGATGGCAGGCTTTCTTTCTAGTCTGGGCGTTTTTTTCTTCTCGACTTCGGCCCCTGGGGCCTGCTCTCGGGCTCACGAGCCATCAAACAGGGATCCAGGAACAAAAAACTGCCTTGGGGGAAGGCGTCGGGACCTCTGGGGCCACGGACGGAACAATACCAGCGGGCCCAAAGCCCCGACGAGGCGTGAGGTCTGGACCCCCTTCGCTGAGACTGCTCTTCCTCCCAACTCGTTTTCTGACAATCCCGAGGCGCGGTAAGGGTCTTCGGAGAGCCAGACATAAGGAAAAACCTTCCGGATAGCGTTTTTTACTATTTACCTTCCGCGATTGCAGCCGTTACCGGCTGGCCTCGCCCACCCCCCCACCCCCACCCGGTAGAGCCCGCTATCACCCGGGAATTATGATCACCATCATCAGCAGCATCACAATCATCATCACCATCCCTACCATCATCATCATCATCATCATCATCATCATCATCATCATCATCATCATCATCATCATCATCATCATCATCATCATCATCACCATCACCTTCATCATCATCAGCACCAGCGTCATCAGATCATCATCATCATTTTCGTCTTCTTCGTTTTATTCATCTTCAATGCTATTGTCATTGCCATCGTCATCAGTGGCGCAGCCGCATGCGTCCACTCGACCAGCATCAGCATCAGCATCAGCATCAGCATCAACATCGGCATCATCATCAACATCACCATCAGCGTCATCATCAGCATCATTATCATCATCATCACCACCATCATCATCATCATCATCATCGTCATCGTCATCATCACCATCACATAGCACCATCACCATCACCACCACCATCATCACCATGACCATGATTATGACCATAACGAGTACCATCACATCACCGTCATCATCACCATGAGCATCACAATCATCATCAGCAGCAGCATCAGCATCGTCATCATGACCATGCTCATGCATGGTCATCATGATCACCATCACCATCGTCGTCACCAGCATCATCATCAGCATCATCATTATCAGCATCATCACCACTATCATCACCACCATCATCATCAACACCATCCTCATCGTCAACATTGTCATCGTCATTGTCATCGTCATCGTCAGCGTCATCAGCATCGTCATCACCACCATCACAACCATCATCATAATCATCATCATCGTCACCATCATCATCAACATCATCATCAATATCTCCATCGTCGTCATCGTAATCGTCATCGTCGTCGTCGTCGTCGTCGACATCGCCATCGTCAACATGATACTCATCAGCATTATCGTCATCATCACCATCATCATCATCAGTATCATCATCATCACCATCGTCATCATCAGCATCTTCACCAGCATCAGCATCAGCATCAGCATCAGCACCATCCGACTAATCATCATCGTCATCGTCCTCATCACCATCGTCGTCATCATCATCAGCGTTAGCGTCATCATCATCACCCAACATCATCATCATCATCGCTATCGCCTTCGCAATCGCCATCATTATCAGTGGCGCAGCTCGCATGCGTCCGCCCGACCCATGTCTGCACTCCCTTCACACACTTCGTGGCCCCACAAAGAACTTCATCAAGTGCCTCCGTGGCGCAGCTCGCATGCGTCCGTCCGATACATTGTCCGCCTGATCCATTCCGGCACACCCCATCACACGTTCCGTGGTCCAACAAGGAATTTCACGAAATGCTTCCGTGGAATTCGCATGCGGCCCCTCGGGCCATTCCCGCACACTCCTGGCACGTTTCGTGGCCCCACAGTGAGCTCCACCGAGTGCCTCCGAGGCGCAGCTCGCACGCGCTCGCCCGATCCACTCTGGCACACCCCTCACACGTTACATGGCCCCATAGGGAGCTGCACCGAGTGCCTCCGTAGCGCATGCGTCGGCCCGACTCGGCACACCGCTGACACGTTTCGTGGCCCCACAGGGGGCTCCACCGAGTGAAATGCCTCCTTGGCGCAGCTCGCATGCGTCCGCAGGACCCATGTCCGTACACTCCTCACGCGCTTCGTGGCCTCATGGGGAGCTCCACCGAGTGCCTACGCTTCGAGGCTCGCAGGCGTCCGCCCGACCACCCCTCACATGTTTCGTGGCCCCATAGGGGGCTCAACCGGGTGCCTCCGTGGCACGGCTCGAATGCGTCCGCCTGACACATGTTCTGGCCGGTTCTTTCGGCGTGTTCTGACCGGCTGACGGAAAACTGCCAAACTGGACATAGCGGGCCACCGCTGACAACGGCCAGGGGGCCCACTGACAACGGCCAGGGGGGGTCACTGAAGATGGCCAGGGGGCTCACTGACATCGGCCAGGGGGGTCACTGACAGCGGCCAGGGGGGTCACTGACAACGGCCAGGGGGGCCACTGACAACGGCCAAGGGGGGTCACTGACAACGGCCAGGGGGCCCACTGACAACGGCCAGGGGGGTCGCTGACAACGCCAGGGGGGGCCACTGACAACGGCCACGGGGCCACTGACAACGGCAGGGGGGTCACTGAGGCCAGGGGGGTGACTGACAACGACCAGGGGGGTCCACTGACAACGCCAGGGTTGTCAGTGGGCCCCCCGGGGGTTGTCAGTGCCCCCCCCTGGGGTTGTCAGTGGGCCCCCCTGGGGGTTGTCAGTGGCCCCCCTGGGGGTTGTCAGTGCCCCCCTGGGGGTTGTCAGTGGGCAGTGGCCCCTGGGGGTTGTCAGTGGGCCCCCTGGTTGTCAGTGGGCCCCCCTGGGGGTTGTCAGTGGGCCCCCCCGGGGTTGTCAGTGGGCCCCCCTGGGGGTTGTCAGTGGGCCCCCTGGGGTTGTCAGTGGAGCCCCGTCGGTGAGGTCCCGAACTCGACAGGAACGGCGTTTTGTCGAGTTCGGGACCGCCCCGACGGGGCTCCACTGACAACTCACTGACAACCCCAGGGGGCCCCGCTGACAACCCCCAGGGGGTCCCACTGACAACCCCGGGGGGGCCCACTGACAACCCCCAGGGGGCCCACTGACAACCCCCAGGGGGGCCCACTGACAACCCCCAGGGGGGGCCACTGACAACCCCCAGGGGGGCCACTGACAACCCCCGGGGGGGCCCACTGACAACCCCAGGGGGGGACAACCCCCAGGGGGCCCACTGACAACCCCCAGGGGGGCCACTGACAACCCCGGGGGGCCACTGACACCCCCGGGGGCCACCACCACCCTAGGCCCGCCCGACGGCGTTGTCAGTCCACCCCCTGGCCGTTGTCAGTGGGCCCCCTGGCCATTGTCAGTGACCCCCCCTGGCCGTTGTCAGTGACCCCCCTGGCCGTTGTCAGTGACCCCCCTGGCCGTTGTCAGTGACCCCCCCTGGCCGTTGTCAGTGACCCCCCCTGTCGCTGTCAGTGGGCCCCCTGGCCGTTGTCAGTGGGCCCCCTGGCCGTTGTCAGTGACCCCCCCTGGCCGTTGTCAGTGACCCCCCTGGCCGTTGTCAGTGACCCCCCTGGTCGTTGTCAGTGACCCCCCTGGCCGTTGTCAGTGGCCCCCCCTGGCCGTTGTCAGTGACCCCCCTGGCCTGATCAGTTTTTCTCCGATTTGATCGTTTTCGGGTGGCTATGGTCCCCCCCCCCGAAACACGCTCTGCGTTCCAGCCAGCACATGTTGGCACACCCCTCGCACGTTCCGTGGCCCCATAGGAAGCTCCATCGAGGACTCCCGTGGCGCAGCTCGCATGATCCTGCCCGACCCATGACCGCACACCCCTGACACGTTTCGCGGCCCCACAAGGAATCCCACCAGCCCTTTGGGCGTGAGTGGTTTAGCGAGCTCTCTCTGTTCTCAACCCCCCTTCTTCCCCCTCGGGGAGGGGTTTACCCCTCCCCCTACCCCCTCCCCCTGGACCTGGAGAGGTCCTTTCGCGGGTGGTTGGAGGGTCCTTTTTCGACTCCTGGGAGGGCTAAACAACGACACCCCTCACGAGGATTTTGGCCCCGACGGGGGGACTGACAAAAAATTGTGCTCGCCCCAGCTGTGATCGATCGCCCGAAAGATGGCCCCAAGATACCTCCCAGACCCCTCCCAAAGAGCCCCAAGAGGCCCCAGGAGGCCTCCAAGAGGCCCCCAAGATGCCCCCAAGAGGCCCCCAAGAGGCCCCAAGAGGCTCCCCCGAGGCACCCAAGACGCTCCTGGAAGCCCCTGGGGCCGCCAAGAGGCCCCCAAGACGCCCCAAACGGCCTCCAAGAGGCTCCCAAGAGGCTCCCGAACGACTCACACCAGAAGGAGGGGCCCGAACGACTCACACCAGGACGAGGCGCCCGAACGACTCACACCACGAGGAGCCCGAACGACTCACACCACGACGAGGGCCCCGAACGACTCACACCACGAGGAGCCCGAACGAGTCACACCAGGAGGAGGGGCCCGAACGACTCACACCAGGACGAGGGGCCCGAACAACTCACACCACGAGAAGCCCGAACGACTCACACCAGGACGAAGAGCCCGAACGACTCACACCACGAAGAGCCCGAACGACTCACACCAGGAAGAAGGGCCCGAACGACTCACACCAGGACGAGAAACCCCAAACGACTCAAACCACGAGGAGCGCTTTCTCTCCCTCCTCCTCCGCCTCGTCCTTCTCCCGCTCCCACCACAAGGAGGATGTACAAGGAGGCGGGAGGAAGGAGGAACAGGGGAGATATGCGGGGGCAGGCGGAAACACGCCTGAAAAACACGACTGTCGGCATGCTTCGCAAGAGCTGCTGTTTTGAGATGGGCTGGTGGGGATACGCGAAGCGTGAAGAATTCCACCCATTTCTTCCGTGGCGCAGCTCGCATGCGTCGGCCCGACAAATGTTGGCACAACCCACGCACCTTTCGTGGTCCCGCAGGGAGATCCACGGAGTGCCTCCTTGGCGCAGCTCGCATGCGTCCGCCCGACCCATTTCGGCACACCCCTCACAAACTTCGTGGCCCCATAGGGAGCACCACCGAGTGCTTCCATGGCACAAGTCGGATGCGCCCCCCGAGCCATCCCGGCACACCTCTTACACGTTTCGTGGCCCCATGAAGAATTCCACTGAGTGCCTCCGTAGCGCAGCTAGCATGCGCCGGCCCGACCGATTCCGGCACACCCCATCACACGATTCGTGGCCCCACAAATAATTCCACTAAGTGCTTCCGTGGCGCACTTCGCATGCGCACCCCGAGCCATTTCGGCACACTCGTGGCCCCACAAGTAACTCCACCAATTTCTTCCGTGACGCAGCTCGCATGCGTCGGCCCGACACATTGTGGTACAACCCACGCACTTTTCGTGGCCCCACAGGGAGATCCACGGAGTGCCTCCTTGGCGCAGCTCGCATGCGTCCGCCCGACCCATTTCGGCACACCCTTCACAAACTTCGCGGCCCCATAAGGAGCTCCTCCGAGTGCTTCCATGGCTGCTTTCGCATAGTAGCTCCGCGCCTGTTTCGGGACACTTCTTATACGCTTCGTGGCCCTACAGCGAGGTCCACCGAAGGCCCCACTGGCTGCGCTCGCATGGCACCACCGCGCCCAATTCGGCCCCCCCTCGCATACCTCGTGGCCCATAAGAAAGATCCACCGAAAGCTGCATCCACAACGTGGTACCCACAACAACCCATGGTTGGGTCTTCGCCAGGAGGAGGAGGAGGAGGAGGAGGAGGAGGAGGAGGAGGAGGAGGAGGAGGAGGAGGAGGAGGAGGAGGAAGAGATGGCTGGGGGGAGGGGGGCATGAGGATGAGGAGGAGGAGGAGGAGAGAGAGAGAGGAGGAGGAGGAGAAGGGGGAGGATGAGGAGGAGGAGAAGGATGAAGAGGAGGAGGAGGAGGAGGAGGAGGAGGAGGAGGAGGGTCAAGAGGAGGAGGGGGGTGCAACGCGAAAAGGGTCTTGGAGCCTGCTGCGGTTGGCGCCTCCCGGTCTCCCCGCCCCCAGCGCCGCTCAAACATCCCCGCACGACGGCGAATACCTCGTCGCAGAGGCCCGTCGCCGTGTGCTCGCACAGGTACGGGTTCTGGAAGTGCGTGCCGATGATCTCCTGCGCCTGCGCGGCGGGTGCTGCAGTGGGGCTTTTGCTGGGGCGTGGCCCGAGGATGCACGAGTGCGGCGGCGGGCATCGCAACAGCGGAATCAGTACCCGCGGGCACCACACTGGAGTGGCGTGCACCTCGCGCGCAAGCGCCTCTTGCGCCCAAAACGGGCGACTCGGCCTGCGACCACCTCACCAGTCTCGGAGGACCTCAAGGTCTCCAAGTTGGCTCCGCAGTGGGGGGGCGCGAAGCACGAGGAGGACGCAAGGAGGAGGACCCAGACCCCCTTAGCGTGGTGAAAAAATCGCGATGGAACGCTTTCCTCCATTCTCGGCCTGTGGAGGCCCTTCCCGGGTCCCGGGGCTGTCACACACACAAACACCCAGGAAAGGCCTCCGATCTCCAGGAAGGTGTCCAGATCCCAGGGGGGTCACGTCATGACCAAGTCTCGACGTCTGGGAGGAGTACGACGAGGAGGAGGAGGAGAAGGAGGAGGAGGAGGAGGAGGAGGAGGAGGAGGAGGAGGAAGAGGAGAAGGAGAAGAAGGAGGAGGAGAAGACGAAGGGTGCAGGAGGAGGACTTGCTGGATTTGCTGGCTGGGGGGAAGGGCTAAAAGCAAACGTATGGAAGCAAGTGGGAAGGATGGGGAGGGTGCAGGAAAAGGATGATGACGATGACGATGATGCTGATGATGCTGATGACGATGATGATGCTGCTGCTGCTGATGATGGTGATGATGATGATGATGATGATGATGATGATGATGCTGATGATGATGATGATGCGGCTGATGGTGGTGATGATGAGGATACTGATGGTGATGATGATGATACTGATGGTGATGATGATGCTGATGATTATGATGACGATGCCAGTGATGATGAGCCTGATGATGTTGACGATGCTGTTGATGCTGCTGCTGCTGATAATGATGATGACGATGGCGATGGCGGTGCCGATGGCGGTGATGATGATGACGACGATGCTGATGATGATGCTGATACGGAGGAAGGTGATGCTGATAATGACGATGGCAATGACAATGACGATGACGATGATGCTGATGACGAGGATACTGATGATGATGCTGCTGATGATGGCAATTATGGTGATGATGGTGATGGTGATGATGATGCTGATACAGATGATGCTGATGCTGATAACGATCACCATTATCATCCTGAGTCTTATGATGGTAATGGTAACGATTATGGCGTGATAGAGGTGATGATGAGGCTACTTAGTCTAGAATCGCTGCGCACTAGGAACATTGCAGGGGTAGGACCAACACCATGGCCGATGGGGAATACCAGGAGAAGGGGTGATGCAGAGGAGCAAGGAAAAGGGATTGAAGAAAGGAAGAGGAGGACGAACACACATGAACACGGATGATGATGCAGAGCAGGAGGGATGGAGAAATGAGGATGACGAGGAGCGGGGAGAAACAGGATGATGATGCTGATGCTGCTGATGATGATGCCGATGAGCGGGAGGAGGAGGAGGAGGACCAGTGTAAACCTAAGACGCATCAGCGGTGTTGCAATACACCCTCCCTCCAAGTTCTCCATTCATAAGGCCCTACAAGAATATATATATATATATATATATATATATATATATATATTCCTGGAAATGCCTTATTGGAAAAGCAAACGTCTGGGAATCCTCAACCGTGCAAAAAAACACCCCTGGGACTTCAACACCATGAATCAACATTAATGTTGCGTTCTGACAAACCTTAATCCATTCCTGGGACTTCGACCATGCGAGACCTTGAAACTGTCGCCAACGTTCAAAATAAAGGAACGCGGAGCTACGGCGAGAGCCACATTTTGAAAACGAGCCGCCTTTCACCCATGAAACTGTTGCAAGCGTTTACAGCGAAGGTGCGCGGCGCTCGAGCGAGAACTACATTGGGAAAACGCTTTGCCTTCCACCCGTAAACCTGTTGCACACTTTCAAAGCCAACGTGCGCGGCTAAGGCGAGACCCACACTTTGAAATCAGCGCGCCCTCCATCCCTGAAGCTGCTGCAAATTTCAAGCTTGAAGGTCATACATGGGGAAGAAGTCTCAGGCGAAACGCTGGGCCCGCCCTACCTACACGTCTGGGGGTGCGACAGGGACGAGTTATTAACAAGGAAGAGAGATGGAGGAAGCGGGATGGAGGAAGAGGGGTGACGGATAAGGAGGAGGAGGAAGAGGAAGAGGAGGAGGAGGAGGAGGAGGAGGAGGAGGAGAAGGGTGATGACGACGACGCGGACGCTCGCCTGAGCGATGAGCTCGCTGTTCTTTGAGAGCCAGCGCTGCACGGCGTTCATCAGGTCACACTCTCTGCGTCGGTCGGCTGGGAGCTCAAGGGACCACCCAGACGCAGGCTCAGGAAGGAGAAGGAGGAGAAGGAGGAGAGAGGAGGAGGAGGAGGACGAAGATACTAAGGCGGTTGTAAGGTTTCTAGGTCCCAGGTCTGATTGAGGAGAACAGGGCAGTTGGTTGCAGGGCGTTCTTTGGACTTGAAGGAGGGGGAGGCTGTGGGGAGTCCCACGGCTTCTAGGAGGGGGATGGGCTTCAGAACAGAACGCGTAATGATCGCTCAGTGCCTCATCCAACCCTGACTTGTTTCCCTCTCTTGCCATCTTTTCCTCCTCCTCCTCCTCCTCCTCCTCCTCCTCCTCCTCTTCCTCACTCTCCCCGTCACCCATCTCCCTGTCTCCCTTGCCCCTCCCCGCTCCCCATCCCCAATTATTTCCCCCTCCCTCTCGCCCTCCACCTTCTTCCGCCAGTTCTCCTCCTCCTCCTCCTCCTCTTCTTCCCCCCCCTCCTCCTCCTCCTCCTCCTCCTCCTCCGTCCTCCTCCCGCCTTCTCCTCCTCCTCCTCCTCCTCCTCTCCTCCTCCTCCTCCTCCCTCCTCCTCCTCCCCCCCCACCTCCTGCCCCTCTCCTCTTCCATCTCTCCTCCTCATCCCCCTCCTCCCCCTCCCCCTCCTCCCCCTCCACCTCGACCTCCTCCTCCTCCTCTTCCACCTCCTCCTCCACCTCCTCCTCCTCCACCACCTCCTGCTACTTGACGTCCCGAAGTTGCGGACTGTCTTGCCGAACGACCCTCCTCCTCCTCCTCCTCTTCCTCCTCCTCCTCCTCCACCACCTCCTCCTCCTCCTTAGGGGTGGGTGGTAATGAGGAACCGGCTCAGAGGGGGATCGAGCTGGTACCCACGATACATCGCCGATAGATCGGCGAGAGGCCCCCGATATCGAATCCGGACTTTCCTGGGAGATTGGTTTCCGCGCAACGGTCCTTCGGGAGAGTTTGGGCCCTGGGTGACGGTGCGGAACGCTTGGGCTGGGTGGGGACACCGGGGTGGGTGCGCTGCGATCGTATGCGCACGTCTTGTGGGAAGGGCCCCGGCTCCCCCCCCAAGGCGTACGATTGTTCCCGCTGTCCGCGGGAGTGGCCTGGGTGACGACCAGTATGTGCCAGAGGATACAGCTATGACGTACCCGAGACGTACCCAACCTCTTCTCCACGCGAGGCGAATGCTTGCATGAGCGCCCCCTACACAGGAACACATCGCCAAACATGCACGACCTGCGCCGCCCTCGTCTCCGCCCTGCATCCCGGGAGCCCACGACAAGCGGTGACGGGTTTCGCAGCTCGCAGCTCCCAAGGGAGCAGCGAAGTCTCAAAACCTGCGCTGCCCTCGCATCCCTCGTGCCTCCCAGGAGCCCACGAGAGTGGCGACACGCTGCGCAGCTCGCAGGCCACCCAGGGAGCATCGGAGGACCTCCCATCAGCCCACGACAGCGGCGTCGACGGGAGCGAGGTCTCGAGCGGGTCCGCGAGGCCCTCCACCGCCGGACCTCCCAGGAGCCCAAGCACGTGGCGACGGGCTGCCCGCTTCGCAGCCACCCAGGGAGCCGCGGAGTCTCGAATGAGTGCGCGTGGCCCCCGACTCCGCTGGACCTCCCGGGAGCCCACGGAAGTGGCGACAGCTTGCGCGCTTCGCAGCCACCTGGGGAGCAGCGAGGTCTCAAACGGGTCCGCGTGGGGGGAGGAGGAGGAGGAGGAGGAGGAGGAGGAGGAGGAGAAGGAGGAGGAGGAGGAGGAGGAGGAGGAGGAGGAGGAGGAGGAGGAGGAGGAGGAGGAGGAGGAGGAGGAGGAGGAGGAGGAGGGGGAGGGGGACTGGACAGGTGCGCAGCTGGCAGCCACCCGGGGAGCAGCGAGGCCTTACCTGGCTCCGCGTGGCCCTCCACCCCGCTGGACCTCCCAGGAGCCCACGGAGGAAGTGGCGACAGGAGCGAGGCCTCAAGCGGGCCCGCATCGCCCTCCACTCCGCTGGACCTCCAAGGAGCCCACGAAGGAAGTGGCGACAGGTTGCGCAGCTCGCAGCTACCCAGGGAGAAGCGAGGTCTCACATGGGTACGCGTGGCCCTCCACTCGGCTGGTCCTCCCAGGAGCCCGCGAAAGTGGCGACAGGGAGCCTACGAAGGTGGCGACAGGCTCCCACTTCGCAGCCACCCAGGGAGCAGCGAAGTCTCAAATGGGTCCGCGTGGCCCCCGACTCCGCTGGACCTCCCAAGAGCTCACGAAAGTGGCGACAAGTTGAACAGTTCGCAGCCACCCAGGGAGCAGCGCAGGAGGAGGCATGATGAGGGGTGAGGAGGAGGAGGGAGGACAATGGAGATCACAGTGCTTTGTTCAAAACCAGAACCCAACACAGTGCAACACAGTGCTCTGATGAAGATAAAAAACATGCTCCAGATCCAATTTCTCTGCACAAATTTTCAAACTGGATCGATCCGTGAATGCCTCGGTGCCCGAAACGGGGGAAAATCGCCCGGCTCGAGAAAAACGAGACGCCCAAACCTCGTGGTGCTCGGGTCAAAACTCGGGCCTATCCAAAACCAGAACCCAACACAGGATGATTGGGGAAACCAGTCCTTGGGCGGGGTGGGCTATCGGGCCCCTGTCGACGATGAGTGGGCGATTTTGGGGTCGACTTGCTCCCCCATGAGCTCATCCCCGTCTTGAACAGGGACCGACCATCCTGGAATTCCTCTAGGTCTACCACGACATAATCTTAGAACCCAGAAATGTTCTAAACACGAAGATAAGGTTCTTAGAGCATAGACGCGACGTGTGACTGCAAGACAGCGTGCCAACCACACAATAGGTTCTCAGAGCAGTCTTTGCCTGGCCTGTAGGCGAGCCAGGACACTTCGCCACTGCCTGACACCCCCGTCCCCGGTGGTCTTCGCGCCGTGACCCGGGCCTCCGGCGGCCGTCCGGGCCGATCCGGGCACCCCCCTCGGGAACGCTCGCGGCGGGGCGCAGCTGCTGGCACGCCCCCCGAGGCTGGCGAGGCCGCCGAGGCCCGGCGGGCACGCCCGAAAACACCTCGGACCTCGAGCCTGTCGGCCTCCGCCT